AAAACAAAAAAAGCTTCCTGTACCAAAAACAAATACTACCAAATGGAATCAGTTATTCAATGAAATTTTAAAAACATTAAATGAAATGAATTGTGGATGGTTTGATGGCTGTGAGCTTACAATAGGTTTAAAATTTTTAGAAAATCTTACAGCTTTAATTTGGTATCTTGACGCACATCATTCAAAATTTGAAGCTCGAGGTTTAGCATTTCCTAATTTTATTAAAAACCTACCACCTTATATTAATGGTCAATATTATAAAGAGGATTCACATTATAAAAAAAGTATGATAGAATCTTATAAACTAGAAATTCATATTCAATCAGTTCAAAAATGTTTAGAACAACCTTGGGCTAGTAATCAAAATTGGCGGCCATTTATACTTCAAGTATTTCACTTAACAAATATTGCACAAAAATATCTTGAATATCTTAAAAATGTTAAACAAAGTGTAACAGTAACTCAAAATGCAATGCAACCAGCACGTAATTCTGCTGATAATAGTAAAATTGAATTTATATCACATTGTCAACCAGGAGAAGTTAGATTTGAATATCAAGAATTAGTTCAAAGAATTAAAACTTCTGATATTTATGAAGTTATTCCAATTAATGAATACTTACCTTCTAACAAATACAAAAGATATCAATTTTTTGCAAATTTATCATTAGATAGTCCAATTATGTTATATTGTTATTATCATAGAAATTATCTTGGAACATTAAATTTTGCATGGCGTATACCAATAAATATAAATGATAGATCTGATAATCAACAAGCATATGCAATAATTAAAGTTCAAGATAATATTCCACATTATTTTACTAGAGGAATGAAACGTAATGTATTTGCAAAGGTTAGTTAAATTTAGTTGCTAAATATTATTAATTGATTAATTATTTAATGTAAATTATTTTTATTTAGTATTCACTAGTAAGCAAAATTACACCACGTATTATAGCATTTTTATATCATGATTTGACAGGTGATGCAAGTTCTTCTGAAAATTTACCTACACAAGAAATGGAAAATAGACTTAAAACAATGTTAGAACTTAGTGATCCAGATATTGTAGTTGATTTGAGAGTTAATAATGGATTTAAAGGCAATAAATTTGATTTTTTTTGGAATGAACTTAAATTATACTTTGAAGAGGTAATAATTAGGTCCATATTATTTTACTAAAAATCACATTACTGACAATTTAGTTCGTTAACAATTAATTTACAGACAAGCTTATATTACTGACAATTAATTCACAAATAAATTTATTTTACTGACAGTTTATTTCACTGGCAGCTCCTTTTATTGACAAGTTTTTTTATAAATTGCATTAACCTTAACTCTAATTCGGAACCTGATGACAATAACCAGAATTACTTTGTTAGTAAAAATAGCTGTCTGTGAAATAAACTATCTGTAAAATGAACATGTCTGTGAATTAATTATTGGTAAAATAAGCTTGACTGTAAATTAATTGTCAGTGAACTAAGTTGTTGGTGAAGTGATATCTGGTGAAATTAATAAAACTGGTAATTTATAGATTTATAGTAAATTGTTTAAATAATTTTATTTAAATAATTTAATTTTTTATTTA